GCTGTGGCTCCTGTGGGGGCTGCAAGGGGGGCTGTGGCTCCTGTGGAGGCTGCAAGTCCAGCTGCTATCAATCCAGCTGCTGCAAGCCCTGTTGCAGCCAGTCCAGCTGCTGCAAACCCTGCTGCTCCTCAGGCTGTGGGTCCTCTTGCTGCCAGTCCAGCTGCTGCAAGCCCAGCTGCTGCCAGTCCAGTTGCTGCAAGCCCTGCTGCTGCCAGTCCAGCTGTTGCAAGTCCAGCTGCTGCAAGCCCTGCTGCTCCTCAGGCTGTGGGTCCTCCTGCTGCCAGTCCAGCTGCTGCGTCCCCATTTGCTGTCAGTGCAAGATCTAAATCTCTGACTTCAGGCCTCCGGGTTTCTCAGTGTCTGGTGAAACCCTTTCTTGTCCCAGGTCAGCTCCTGTCCACTGGCCTCCCTGAGGTGACTACAACCTCTCCTGCCTTTCATCCCCTGCTCTCACCGCCCTCTCTGGTGGGCTCTGTCTCCTCTTTTCTCCCTCTAGAGAAGCATGTTTCTAGGTGCCGGAGAGAGGCCTTCCTCTCGGCACTGCCTAGCTGACATGACAGCCACAGTGACCATCGCCTGCCTCTTTCCGGGCTTCTCAGATGCAGGGTCCCACCCCACAGCCAGGCGAGGTTTCCGGTGCTCACCGAGGATTGTTTTAAACAACTTCTTGACCCTCAGCACCTGGGTCCTCCCAGGCCACTTCCTGCTCCTCTGACTCACTTCCCTAAGAGATTTCCTTCCTTCCTGTTGCCTCCAACTTCTCCTGTTTAAAAAAATATATATATAACAAACGAACTTCCTTTTAATAAAGCCTAAACTGTGAAAACCAACTGTGTGCTTGGTGCAGTGCCTTCTTTCCCACCTCCTCCCTCAAGTAGCTAATTAGCAGCTCTAGGTGCGGAGTAAGGGTCCATTCCAGGGGGCCTGGGACTTTCACATAGAGTGACGCCCAGCACTCCCATCTTCCTGAGGCCCCCAGACTCCTTCCCCGTCTCTGCCTGCAGGGTGCAGGCTCAGGGGGGCGGGTTGGCCTCCAGAACCAGCCAGGAAGGGTGCTGAACGCTGATCACTGACAGTCCATGGAGTGGGACTTTGTGTGCATGAATAACCAAGTAGCAACTCCCTCTTCCCACTCTCCTCTCTAGTCCCAGTACAGAAATGCTGGTCCTTGGAAAGACAGGGCCCTCGGAGGGTCCCAGGGCAGGCTAGGGTCAGGGGACAAGAGGAGAAAAGCCCCAGGCCTGCCCACTCGCTCTGGCCACAGGTCCACATTTGGCAGATGCAAACTGAGTGTTTCAGGATGATAACAGACGAGGGCTCTAATCGCCAAAGGTCTGCAGACACCTAGGGGGTGCCCCTGGCCACCGAAAGAGTAACATCCCGCAGGAGAGGGAAGCTGAGCCCCGCACATTCTGGGGAGCCTCAGGAACGTAAAACTGCCCTGTGCCGCTGTGCCACCCAGCTGGCCTCCATGCCACGCAACCAGCTGCTCTGGGCTGCAGCACACACTGGTCCAGAAGCAGCGGGTCACCTCTGGGTGGGCGGAGGTGGCTGAGGAGGCTGCCCACCAGCAGAGCGAGGAGGGAGAGACTGGAAGCCCACCACAGGAGAGGCGTAGCCGGGCAGGGCTCCCAGCCACACTGGCAGCCAACCCTAATAATGCCGACCGTGCAGGGACCTGGAACGGCCACTCCAGAGCCAGGACTCCCAAGATGAGAGAGAGCAGCTGGGGGAGGAATAGGCGAGCACAGAGAGGCTTGTGTCTCCACCACAGGGGGGCGGGGGCAAGCACCCTCCAGGTCCTCTGTGAGAACATGGTGAYTCCACTTGGCAGTGCCGGGAGGAAATGTGGCTCAAGATGCCGGAAGGATCTCAGTGCCGGGGAGCACTGCTGTGCCCTGGACATGGCACCTGCCACCTCCCCACATAAAACAGGCTCAGGTGGCCCCTGCAGCAATGATGAGCAAGCCCCAGAGAGCCAGCAGCCGGGGACAGAGTTCCCCATGTCCTGCCCACTGTCAGTGTCTGCAGAGACAAAGGGACTTCCAACCCCCAATACCAAGGAACCTCAGAAGAGGACCAGGGCTCCCCGGGAACGTTCAGGATGAACTGAGGCCCCTGGAGCATGGAGCTTTCCCGCGGCGCGTCGCATTCCCCCAGAGACCGCCTCCCAGGTCAGAACCTCAGCCTGCAGTGTCCACCAAGCTCCCGCCCAAGGACACGTGGTCCAACACTCAGAAGCAGGAGAACACCAAGTGAGGACACAGCACTCCAGGGAAGCTCAGAGAGAGGGGACAGGCCACCTGCAAAGAGTGCAAGAAGGCCGGGCGTGGGGCACACACTTGTAGTCCCAGCACCTTGGGAGGCTGAGGCAGGAGGATCGTGAGTTCAAAGCCAGCCTCAGGAACTCAGTGAGACCCTAAGCAACTTAGAGAGACTCTGTCACAAAATAAAATATAATAAGAGCTGGGGATGGGGCTCAGTGGTTAAGACCCCTGCATTCAACCCCCAGTACCAAAAAAATAAACAAACAAGTGGAAGAAACAGCAGAGCCAACACACCCAGTGAATCCTAGGAGCCGACAAGGTTAGGGATGCAGCAGAAAGCACCAACCAGGATGGCAGACTTAAACACACGCATTTCAGAAGTTATACCTAAAGTAAATGGGCAAAGTGCTCTGTTTTAAGAGAGCTAGATTAGGTTTTTTTTTTAATTTATCTATATGCAAACTCAAAAGCTGCACCTAAAATATAAGGATACAAAAAGTTAAAAACAAACGGATGAAAAAATATATAACTTGCAAAAAAGCTGTATCAACAGTAGGCAAAATAGAAATGAAGGCCAAGCTGGGTGCGGTGGCACTCACCTGAAATCCAGTGGCTCGGGAGGCTGAGGCAGGAGGATGGCAGTTCAAAGCCAGCCTCAGCAACTTAGCGAGGCCCTAAGCAACTTAGTAAGATCCTGTTTCAAAATAAAAAATAAAAAGTGCTGGGGATGGGGCTCAGTGGTTAAATACCCCTGGATTCCATCCCCAATACCCAAAAAGTGGCCAAATTTTTTTTTTTTTTGAGAAACAAAGAGAATCACTTAAATAAGCCAGGAAGCTCTAGTGTGGATTTTATGTACATAACAAAATAGCCTCAGAATACATAAAGCAAACCATGACAAACCACAGCGGGGAGAGAACAAGAATAGAACAGAGGAGTTTAATGTTCCTACCTCAGTGATTTGAATACCAACAGACAAAATAGCAGGGCAGGTCTGGAGATCTGAACTCAGAATTCACAAGAAGATCCAAAATGACTTACAGAAAGTGTCCCGTCACAGCTCTGCAATAGGCATTCTTTCTAAGCTCACAGAATATTCACAGAGATTAATGGAGGCTAGCCAAGAAGACCCGGCCATGGGAAAGGCTGACACCAGGTGCAGCATGCTTTACCTCTACAGTGGAAACAAATACCACAAAGTGACCAGGGGTTACAAGTCGAGGAACCCAAGGGCTTTGGTGTGTACAGCACCTTTCAATGATCAGCTGCTGAGAAGAAAGAGCCCAAGGTGTTGGGTGACATGCAGACTGCCATTGGCTCTTCCACACTGGACAAGGTGGGAAGAAAAGACTTCTGCTTGTTTTCTACATAGGTGTGTCAGTCAGCCGTCCCCTACTATGACAAAATGCCTGAGATGATCAACTTTTTTCTTTGCAGAGCTGGAGAGCACACTGAGGGAGACCTAGAAGGGCCTCGGCAGCCAGGGCAAGATGGTGAGTGAGGAGGTCCGGGCAGGGCCCGAGCAAGGAGCATGGAGAAGGTCTCCTGAGGAGGTCAACTTCCTGCTTGACAAAGTGCCCATGGACATAAGCCAGGGACCCAATCAGACAGACACTCTGTCCTCGTGCCCCTGAGCAGGGGATCCAATAGAAAAACTAGAACATATCCGTGGACAGAGAGGGACCAATCAGTAACAGTGAGGAGACCAGGGACAGGGAGGAGGTAAGGAAAGGAAGAAATTCCAGCGATCATAAAAAGAACAGGCAGAAACTCCCCTCCAGACTCCTGGCTCTGGGGACATCCCCTGTGGAGAAGTCTGTCTCTGTTGCTTTTTCAATAAACCAGCTGCTGGCTTGCTGCCTCTGTGTCCTGTTCTCCGATTCTTTGCTGAACAGAGACAATGAACTCAGTATCCGCAGACGTAACAAAACTCGATGCCTTGTGAATTTTAGGCAAGTGCTCTCCCACTGGGTTACCTCCCAGCCCCTGGAGACCATCAAGACGGAAAGGTTCATTTTGGCTTATGGTCTCAGGTTTCGGTCATGGTCACTGTGGCACTGGGCCTGTGGCAGCACAGTCCATCAGGGCAGGTGGGCATGGCCAAGGAGGCTCTTTACCTCCTGATCACCTAAAGCACAGAACAGAGCAGGGTGGGTCCTAATAGTCCTTCAAGTGCACACCACCAGGAACCCAGCCTCCTCCAGTAACCTCCTGGGGTCCCTCCACCCCCAAGGCACCACAGGCTGGCACCACGCCTTCAACTCAAAAGCCTTGGTGGAGGTTCAAGATCCAGATGAAGCCTGAGCACAGGGTCTACCTAATACTTGCAAAAGGATCTGTCTTACTTGTGCCACACAATGGATAAACATCCAAATACGTACGTGTGCTGAGAACTGGGGGGACCTCGGTCCCCACGGAACAAATCCTGCCTAGACAGCACTTCTACTCACTTGCTCTCAGGCACCACCATCCCCACCCACGGGCACAGATCCCCCACTTCCACAGTTTACCTACACGTGTGCCATAGTCAAGACAAACATGGGGTCTTCCCAGCACACACGCTCAGTCACCCTCACAGTGGGTACACGCCACGAGGGACTCCTTGTCCTTCACATCCGGGCAGGTGTTTCCYGATGTCAAAACCCAGGCACACGCTCAGCCTCAGCCCCGCCATGTGGGTTCACCAAGCAGGCGACAGGGATCGCTCTGTCTGGGACAGGGACAAACATCTTGTATCCCTCCCTTGGCTCTCATGGGAGAGAAGGCTGAAGACCCCTCAGTGTCCTTGTTGCCATTTCAGAGTAGCCTCTTCCCCTTCTTCATTTTCCGCTGGGTCGCCCTGTCTTCTCTGGTGGTTTGTAGGAGTTCCACAAGGGTCTGGACATTGACACATCCATGATTAGAAACAGAGCAAACATTTCTTCCTCCTTCACCAACGGCTCTTTATGTATTTACTTCATTTTTGTACTCAGATTGAACCAGGGGTGCTTTTTATGATTTTATTGAGACAGGGTCTCACTAAGTTGCCCATGCTGGCCTTGATCTTGTGATCCTGCTGCCTCAGCCTCCCAAGTTTTGGGTACTATCGGGTGTGGCACGACACCTGGCTATCTACCATCTTTTCATGTCTTTGGCTGGGGGTGCTGAAGCATATATCTGCAGTTTTCATGTGATTAAATCCAGGGGTTTTTTTTCTAATTATTGTTTAGGCTCTGGGGATTGTGTTTAAGAATTTCTTTCCTAGCCCCTTTTTTTTTAGATCTCTCACATACGCTTTCGGATTTTAAATTCATCTGGATTTTAAAGGCTGTAAGGTAGGCATCTAATT